GTATGTTGAAACTCATGTCCGTGTGGATGTAGTCCCTATTCCTGTCCATATGGAGAGCATCCCTTGTAGAAGTCTAGTCAACGTTACAGATTCTTTACATGTTATTATATGGGCAGGGCTGAATGGCCTTTCTTTCACCTTTTGTTAACAAAATTTTTAGGCACCTCCTTCTATCCTGTAGCAACCATGCTAACCCACTGTACTGCCATAACCTTGGTAGCTTAATATACCTAGCTGCAGTAACACATTTTGTAAAATTTTATGTTAAAGTCTAAAACTGTAAAATTAATTTCAAACCCATGACTCATCCTTCATCTAAGTCCTAGCAAGCCCAGGGTAGCCCCTCCCTCGCTCACTGCCCTTCCTCCATTTCACCACTTCCTACTCTATCTGAAAAGATTGTTTATCTTCCTCTGCTGATGCATCTCATTATCACATCTGCTTTTTCACAAACTTCTGCATTGCATTGACCTCATCCAAAAGTCACTTCGCATTTTCAGTAATTTAAAAAAAAAAAAACCAAACAAAAAACACCTACTTTTCTAGTTTCTCTTACATTCCATTTTATACTCCTGTTCTGAAGCTGGAGTATATGCCCACTTCATGCCTCCAGTGATATGTGACAGCTTGTACTGGGAAAGTACCTAGATATCTCATATGAACAGATCTGCTGGGTCAGATGAAAGGCCCATTTAGCCCAGTATCCTGTTTCCACCATTGGCCAAAAGAAGACATGAACCACAGAATAAAAATATTACAAGAATATATAGCTTCCCTGAATCCTTTCCAGCTCTGGGGCTTTCTGAAGCAAAAGTTTATATATCAGAAAGACAAAGAAAGCCTCTGGAAAGGATCTATATCAGTAATTTCAGCCTTCCTCAGGTTGAAAAACTCTTAAAAAATCGTTATCAAAACAGGAATTCCTAGACAGCAACCCTGTGTCCATTGGTAACAAAACTATTTCTGTCTGTTTCATGGACCCTTCAGAAATATTCCATGGTCTCACAGGAACCTTAGAAGAATCAGAAGCTGAAAACCATGGATGTACATATACGAGATACAAGAAGCATCTTTGTTTCACTATGAGGTTAAGAATGAAGTAAAACTTAACGGGGAATAGTACTCAAGTTTTCACACCAACTGTTCATGATCATATTCACACAATAAGCTTCTCATCAAATGCTTCCCACATATTTGGGAGAGAACTCTGCAGTTGCTCCCTTGTTTTCCCCAGCCTTCTCCACTGTTGCCACTTGAAAGCTTTGTTTCAGCCCACCTGTCTCAATGCACCATACTACATCATTCAACTAATCGAATCATTTAATGTTCAAAAGCAGGACTTATTATCCCATTTTTGATTAGTGCATGCATAGCAAGTCATCCTTAGAAAAAAAGCCTGTAACACTTAGCTTGAACTCCAGTCTTTTTTTTGTTCCTGTTTATTCTTTGCATTGACTAAGAAAAAAAAATTTGCTCATATGAGCCGTCATGTGAACCGTAATTTAGAGCATCATGACCAGCAATCTATTTACTATTCAACAGAAATCCATGACATCACAGACTTCTGCAGCACCTACCATAGAAGAACTATCACACAAACCGAAAAATCCCATCAAACAGTAAGAGAACTCAATTGATCTTGAAAATGATCTTAGGCTCATGCAGGGAACCCAAAGAAAACGTAACAGATCTAAAATTCTCTCAAAAAATTTTTTAATTAAATTTAATGTTTTCATCTGCCTAGTTACGGTAGTTAACACATCAACGGATGTTGAAATAAACAAATATCTAGCTTTATTCCATTGATGTCCCTAAATATGGAGCCATTTTATCAGATCGTTTTACAGGGTTCAGTTAGGGAATGCTGATAGAAGATTTTAAGAATAAAAGGATTATTCTGAAGACACCAATTACCTGAAGCAGTAATTGTATCTTCATTAAAGGCTTTTATTATTTTGCCTGTACAGCTCTGAATAACAGCCTCTCAAAACAGTAAGCTCTAAGTTCAGGCTTCTTATTTGCACTCGATTTATTTATTTACTATTTTACTAGTGATGCACTGGAACGATCATATTTAACATTTACTTTCATTTTATGGCAAAAAAATAAAAGTGACACGGGGGTGCAATTTTGTATCTGAATATTTAATTACTTAGAATACTAAAGAGATCTGGAGCTTCAGTAATTACTTGTCATATAGATATTCTTCACACTTCAGAAAAAAAATCACGAGCATTCCCTCTGAACTTATACGGGTCCATTGAAGATATAGCCTTAGACACACATATACAGATTTTTAAGATGTATGTTTTTCTATCAGTTTTCTAAAGAACTGGGTTGCTCTTTAAAAGCCTTACCGGATTATTTGATAATTATTAAAGAAATTATTTCTGTATAACAATGTACGTGAATAATATTGTTACCAAACTTGAGAACAGTCTTCGTAGGTCAAGACATACGAAAGATTAATCTTAATTTCACACACTAAATTCCCTTATATTCTGTTAATCAGTAGGTGGTTTTGATTTTCATCTCCCATCCCTCCCTATTTCTACCTTTTTTAATCTATCAACTGTAAACATGAGTATCCCATTTTCTTGGGAAAAAAAAAAAAGACAACACCAATACTAACTCTGCCAGAAAACTCACTTTATCTGTTTATAATAAAACCTAGCATTTTCCCAGTAAAAGACAAAAGCATACTCAGCAAGGTGATGAAAGATACCTGGTCCTTCTCTTCAGGCACTAAAAACTATCCACCCAAGCAAGACAAGATTTTTGAAGTCACTTTCATTTTAGAGTTTTTTTTTTCTGTCATGAAGCATGGTTTCCAAAGAGAAAGGACATTGGGGAAAAAAAAAACCCCAAACAAACCTTGACTTGAGGGTATAGCCTCTTTACAGGGCTAGCCATTTTTCATTTTAGATTTGCCTTTTAAGGTATATAGACTGTCCATTAACTTCTTTCTTCTTCCACCACTTTAAATCCTAACTCTGAAACCCATTAGCTGACCTTTATGTTGCTAAGAGGATTTTCCTATCTCAGGCTTTGGCTGCGCACAGAAGCCTACAGTGATTTTCCACTGGGTGCTACACCGGACTTTTTTCTCCAGTCGCTTTCATCCCTCGCACAGGGGGAGCTAAGCCCATAGATACCTCGGGGAAGGAACACAGTATAGGCACATAGGTACCCGATGTATAGGGGTTTAGGAATCGCATCGTATCTCCGCTACCGCATCTCTTCAGCTCCAGACAGCACTGGCCGAGGCCGATGCGACGAGCCTTGGGCCGCTTCCAGCGGGCGGGCAGCACCTACCGCGCCGGCC